GTTTCTTAATTAAAAGAATCATGAAACAGTTAAAGACACTCGCAATATTGTCTCCATTAAATGCACTTGAGACCCCACATATGACATTGCGTTCACAACTTTATTTTTATATTTATTACTATATATGATTCTCATTTTATTTCATTATATGTAAGCATCGACTTTTCAATGTGTAATTATATTTTTTTTCCTGATGTCAAAAAAGATGTTGACAACACCTATATATTCATTATTTCACTTTAAGAAAAATCTAACCTAGCAATGAAGTGAGTCAAATAAACATGTTAATATTTTTTTTTTCATTTACTCACATGGATTCTACTCAATTTATTTAATTAAAAGAATGCATAAGCTTTTCGATTTATGATTAAGATTTTTTTTGTCAAAAAACATGTTGGAAAAACTTGTATATTTATTTATTTGGCTAAAAACATTATTTGACCTACGGTAAAGCACATATCAAATATTTAGTAAATAAATCTAAAAAGTGTCTGAAAAATATTATGGACGGTCAATAATGTTTTGCCCATTTGCCCTTATCTATATAAAACAAAGGTAATGAATTAAGGGCATTATTGTCATTCTGTAAGGACCTATGTCTTTTCTAGATTCATTAAGAACACAAAGGTCATTTTGTCTTTTTAAAACTAGTATAATTACTGAAGTAACCTTATAGGGAAAAAATAACTTTATGTTTAGGGGTTTTATGGTAATTTTTATTTTGTTGTAAAGTAAAATGATAAACATACCATTTAGTTCAAAAAACCAAAGTTGTCTTGTGAAGGGATTTTGGTCCTTTTATCTTGGGTTTTTTTAGCTATATTTAGACTAATCAGAGGCATTTATGTATTTAAATTATATAAAATATTTATATAAAAAAGTTGTTAGTGCGTGCGTCAACACCACACTCACTCTTTTAATAACACATGTGGCAACATTCGATGTTAGAGGTTTTTTTATTAATTATTTTATATGTATTTACTTTTTGAAGATATTATTATAATTTATTTATAAATATTTTTTATATTTTATATAGATGTGGTTTATTTTTAAAAATAAAAAATTACTTATTCTTTGATGATATTTCTAATATGTGTAGTTTTGCATGACATTTTTTTCCTTTTGTTTTATTCAATCAATTTAATTTATGTGTTTATTTTTATTATTGTCTAATTGAATATAAATTTGATTTTAATAAAAAAATCAATAAACATAATCAAATAAATATCTTATATTGTGAAATCAAATATCTTGATCTATATTTGTCTATTAATTTTTTTAATTTTATTTTTAGTTATCATTAATAATTTTATTTATTTATTTGTACAAATGATTCTTGATTTATTTAATAAAATATTTGCATGAGATTTTTAATTTATACTTATCATTTTTTATATAAATAACACATTGATAAAACTTGTATATTTAATTTTTTTTATTGAAAAAAATATACAACCCACAACATAATAATACGAGTTAAATAACCAGTGATTAAACTATTTAGAGTGCTAATAACTATTTTGATTTAACTTGTTTATGAGTGTGGCTGTGATTACTTTTCAAAGTATTTTTTATGCTGAAATACATTAAAATAATTTTTTTTATTTTAAAAAAATTATTTTTAAAATCAGCATATCAAAACGATCTAAAATATATAAAAATATTAATTTTTAACAAAAAAATTAAATTCCTTATAAACATGAGTTGAATCGGTTTCCAAACTCTCAAGTTAGGTTTAGCAAAATATTCATTTGCCCAAGAGAGCACTGCACACTAAAATATCATTTTAGTGATCCTTAATTTAAACCGATAATAATCGAGGAGAAAATAAATAAATAAGAGTTGAACCACTTTTTCCCTTTTCTTTTTCACTGTGTTTTAGTTTAATAGACCAAATCTATATAAATAAACTAGGTGAAAAAAATTCATTCTATTTCAAAATTTATAAATTAAACCAAAATAAATGAATTCTAAAACATCTATTTCTCATCTACAATTTTCTTGAAAACAAGCAGCACAAACATAAAATTATAATAGAAAAGCGGCATGGGTATCGACATCAACCTTGGCACTGGTTAAATGACATCGTTTTCATAAGAATTGAGGTTCAACTGAGATGGTGGTAGGATAGTTTTTAATTCCAACAATTATAAAAAAAATTTATAGTTTATTTTAAACTTGTATAAATTAAATTTTTTTATTATATATTTTATATATTCGATGAAATTTTATATCCTTGACAATATATTTTATTTGATTTTTTTATTTGGTCAAGTATGTAAAATATAATTTATATCAAACTTTTAGATGATTTTTACAATTTTATATCCTATCTCGAGAAAGTTTGATGATTAGCTATGCAAAAAAAAAAAAAAGGGGGCTTGCATTTTTTTATTTTTTTTATGGTTATAAAAAGTATTCTTTTAAAGAGGTGGTTTTAAAGTCGTAAAATAAGGATCGACGAAGAGCATAACATAGGTATCATTAATTATAAAGCCCCGTACTTTTTCTTTTTTATCTTATATTAGAATTGTGATTAAAAAATTTTAAATTTAAGATAAATTAATTTTAAATTATATAATATAAATATAATGTCAAACAAATATAATTTTAAAAATTAAAATATTTCTAAACAGTAAAGATTAAATAAATTTTTAATTTAAAGTAATTCAACTTAAACAAAATATCGAAATATTATAAAAGTAAAATGTTTTAACACAAATATTTTAAATATAAAGTTAAGTCAATGTTAGGGGTGATCGAAAAAATCAAAAAACCGATTTAACCGAGAAAACCGAAAAAAATTAACCATAAAAACTGAACCGTGAAAAAATCGATTAAACCGATCAGAATATTTAAAACAATATCCGGTTCGGTTCATGAAAGCTGAACTGTGAAAAAATTGATTAAACCGATTAGAATATTTAAAACAATATCCGGTTCGGTTCGGATTCCAGTTTTGTAATGCTTAAACCAGACAACCCGAACCGAATTGGTTCGGTTTAGAAATTAAAAAATGTTTTCTAACCATTAACCCTAGCAAACTAATTTCATTCAAGCTTTATAGTTTATAGCCGTCCTCTCCTTCTAAAATAAATATAAATAACATAATTTTTTATAACTCTAAATTTCAACATTCCTAGTTGCCCCTCTCCATGTTCTCTGTCTTTCACTCTCAAATCTATCTTCTTCTTTTTAGATAACAAAAATCTTTTTTTCAAAAATTTATTATTACGTGCAATTTATAATTAGCAATCTTTCTAACTTCAAATCAATTAGCAATGAATCCTGACTAGTAGATTCCATGAAAGAATTTAAATGATTGAACCTAGATTTCATTTATAAATTGGAGGCAATCATATAATAAAAAAAACAATTTATAATTAACAATCTTTCTAACTTCAAAGCAATTAGTAATGAATCTTGACTATTAGATTCCATAAAAAAATTTAAATGATTGGACCTAGATTTTATTTATAAATTAGAGGCAATCATATGCAATTAGTAATGAATCCTGACTATTAGATTCCATAAAAGAATTTAAATGATTGAACCTAAATTTTATTTATAAATTAGAGGCAATCATATAATAAAAAAAGTCTACTACTAGTTTATTTGAATCAATACCAATATAGTTACCATCAAACATCCCCTTATCCCTTTTGCTTACCATAAAAAGGTTTTCTTGGGATTTTAGAGAAAAATTTTTCTTATCTCAACAATATCAATGCTATTGATGCTTTTCTTGTCTTTTATCTCTCAAAATATGTATTCTTCTCTTTCATGCTTTTTGATAATTTTACATTTCAATAACTTTTGATTTTCTCTCTCTATTTTTTTTCTAGTCAAATCCTTTTGTATTGTGTATTTTTTTTTGCTAGGTTTAACTTTTGGACAAGGAGAACAAAATGAAAATTGGAGTTAATTTTTTAGAAAATAAAAGCAAATATAAAAATTTCAGTTTGAACTAGTTTGGAAGGGGAAAAAACCAAACCAAACTAAAATTAATTAGTTTAAATTGATTTTCAGTTCGATTTGGTTCAAAAATTTTAAAAAATAAATTTAGTGTGGTTGTTTATTTTAGTTTAAAACTGGATCGGACTTAAAATGCTCAACTCTAATTAATGTTATGAAGGTTAATCAGATTTAAAACATCTCTTATTTTACTTAAATTTCTACAAAGTATAAATATAAAAAAATAAAATAAATATAGATCATATATCTTAGTGATAAATCTAATTTTAAAAAATTAATATCATTGTTATTGAAAATAATAATAAAAAAGAGCTTTTTATTCTTAAATAGTTTAATTAATTAAATTAAATGAAGTTTAATTTAATTTAATGATATTTTAAGATAAGAATAAAATATATAAAATGAAACTAGAATATTCTAGCTGAAATTCAACTAAATTTTTTGAAATAGATTGAAATTTAAAATAAAATAAAAATTATTTAATTTTTTAAATTGATATAAAATGTTTGAAATTAACAACAACATTATCCAATATCCACTGAAATGATTTTTGTTACGTGTGTGTGGGGACATTAATAAGTGTGTGGGGACATTAATAATTAAAAAGGATAGTTTTTGATAATGGTGTGAGTAAAAACATATTTTAAGTATGTTTGTTAATGAAAAGGGATTTTTAATAAATTATTTTTTAGTAAAAAAATTTAGTCTATATTTAAAAAATATTTTATTTTTATTTTAGATGTAAAATGTTTTTTAAAAATTATATTTTTTTATTAATCGTAACAAATTTAGTTTTTTTTAATATATATATATATATATAATTTTATTTTTTATATGATTTATTGACTAAGGAATTTTAGATTTACAATTATGTTGGAAAACTCAACAAATTGAATGTCTACGTCTAAGAAAAAAATAATCAACCAGCCTACTTATTAGTATTTTTTTTTTAATGTTGATCAAATTTAACCATGTTCATTATGTTTAAATATTATATGATAGATGAGTTTACGAACTTAATCTCGTCGAATTCACAAGAAGATGAGATTATAACCCTATATGATTGATTTACGAGCTTTTTAATTAATGGATAAGGTAGAATGAATATAAAACAATTATTCCCGTCCAAGTTACTCGCACAAAAATTTGTCTAAATCTTTCCAAAATCAAAGAAACAAGCAAATGGGTACTTTCCCTGCTCTAACAAGATCACTGGGTCATTACTGTATTAAAAAGTCGAGATCCTTTAACTTTCCGAATCCTCACGTTTACAGCAACGGTCATCAGTACCAAACCCATAGAACCCTCCTCATCTTGGACTCCCTGTCCTCTGAATCAGTCAGGCTTCGAAGATTGTCAGATTCGGATTCTGGTAAAATCCCACCTTAAACTCTCTGCGTTAGTGTTTGGTGCTGTACTCTTTTTTGTTTCTGACAAGTTTTTAGATTGTTAAAAAAGTGAACACTTTTGTTGTTAAAACAGGGATTGTCGAGGTTAATTTGGATAGGCCTGCAGCGAAAAATTCAATTGGCAAGGAAATGTTAAGGGGGTTACGTAATGCTTTTGAAACAATTGAAAGCGATATCTCTGCGCAGGTTGTTTTGATTTGCAGTTCGGTTCCGAAGGTTTTCTGTGCTGGTGCTGATTTGAAGGTAATGCATTCTCTCTTCGGTCTTTGATTTTTCTCTTTTTCTCAGTAGTTGGGGATTTTATTTGTTAAATACTTTGCTATGTCGCAAAAGGGCTCATCACAATATCCCAAAAGAAAGAGACTTAATGAAAAGCAACTTGCTTTGAACCGCAGAATAGACCATTAGAAAGTAGAGGAGACTTCATCTCTTTGAGTTTCTAAGTTCTAATCTTAATGTCTAGTTGGGTTGTTAGATTCCCTGTTTTCTCTTTACATGTTACTTTATTGATGTCAAATAATCATTAATCACCAATATCTTTCTTTGAATCTCTTCCTACACTTTTTTGGTTTAACACAATTATGGCAGTGATACCCTAACTAAGTTGCTACCTTGGCAAAGTTTTACTTGCATCTTTATTGGTATTTCTGCATTTTATACCTATACTTATATAGGTCCACCAGGAGATGGTGTTCAATCTATTGTTTTTCTATAAAAAAATTCTATACTTGGGGATATTGGGGCTAGAAGGTTGAAAATAAGGATGGGTGACTTGAATACTCAACCATGATGTTATATATATATATAAAAAATCAGTTGAAGTCGTGTTCATTACAAGTGAGGATAAGAACTTGATCTCCTTTATGAGCTTTCATATTTATAGACTTTAACTTTGAGGCACTCTAAACTCACCTGTGGGCTGTGGCTATATTCTTCGTGTTCAGAAGCACATTCAGGTTTTTGTGATTTTTTTTTTGTTCTTATTTTCCCTTTCTGCTAGGTATTTATTTTTCTCTTGTAAGGATGACAGTATTGATAATATTTCCTCTTGGGGACTGCAAGTCTGCACTTATATTTGGTGGTGAACGATACTTGACAGATCTGTCTTTGATTGGATTGGCAGGAGCGCAAGACAATGACTCCATCTGAAGTTCAAGATTTTGTGAACTCATTGCGATCTACATTCTCACTCATAGAGGTGGGTCCTTATGATGGTCCATATCTTTTCTAGAAGTTATGTTTTTTTGTTACTTGAACATTGTAGATACGGTGATGTGTGAATATGTTTGTGAGAGTGGTCTAAAGGGGTGGGTTCCATATCCTTAGATGAATTGTGTACATGTCATTCAAATTCTAGTTCTTTGGTTTTGCATGAATTCTAGTATCTCTTCTTTATAATTCTATCTCTGACCTTTTGTTTTAAGTTTTGAATTTTGCACGTAGCCAACTCCTTGAAAACTTGTTTCCTGAACTATAGCCCAAAGGCAATTCTGAGATCTATGTATTTATTATAAGATGTATTTATGTCAGAGCATTTGTCCCAATTTCTATCTCCTCCTTAACAACATAATGAGCAGCATGTTTCTGTCAATGCAGGCACTCTGTGTTCCTACTGTTGCTGTTATTGAAGGAGCAGCATTAGGTGGTGGACTTGAAATGGCTTTATCTTGTGATCTTCGCATATGTGGTAGTTGCAGATTTATTCATACATTTGCTTCTGTAAAATATTTTCTTATGTATTATTGTATCTTGATACTCAAAATGTGATTCTTACCCCATATCAATGATTCAGGAGAAGATGCAGTATTGGGTTTGCCAGAAACAGGACTTGCCATAATTCCTGGGTATTTGCTAAATTTGGCTTGTCATTGGTATTTAATTACTGGGAATTGCAAGTTCTTTGCATTTTTTATTTGACTGCTCTTGTTTTCTTTATAGATAAACATGGATGTATTGTACTGTCTCCTCAACTTATTGTTACAGACTAGTATTCTACAATGTAATTTTTCTTATCTATCATTGATGATGAATTGTACATGGAATGGACTTCTGATATGTAACAATTTTTAACAGACATCATTGTGCTTGAAACCTTCTTAAGTTTCATTGGAAATTGGCCATTTAGTGATAGATCATCCTCTTATGGAATCTTTGGTCCTAACAGTGCAGGTGGGACACAAAGACTTCCTAGGTTGATTGGAAAATCACTAGCAAAGGAACTTATATTTACTGGCCGCAAGATTGATGGCAGAGAGGCCATGTCAATGGGTATGTTTAGCTGGTAGCTGCTTTGAATCTTCTTCTTTTTTCTCTTTGATTCATATTTAGCAATGAAGGTGTGCTATGTTGCAGGGCTTGTCAATTACTCTGTCCCTGTTGGTGAAGCTCATTCAAAAGCACTTGAAATTGCTCGGGAGATTATTCAGAAGGTACAGAATGTAAACCTTAAGGATTTTCTCACAGAAAATTATTTAGCACAGAATAACAGTGCAACTCTGCACTCTGCGGAAACTTTGTCATTGAACATGGAAGACTAAGCATCTCTGCTAGAACTTAGAATACTCAAAACTTGTTAGTTTTAAATGTTAATTCAAGATAGGAAATTCTGGGAGGTCTAAAACCTTGTGTATTTAATGTCATGCGTATGCAAAAACTGGGGTCTTGAATCCCAACATTAACTTTCAAACCCATTTTTGGTGGGATTGTGGAAAACTATTGTAAAGCTTTATCTTTGGCGTTGTTGGAACTGCATTGACGATCCTTTATTTTGTGGACTGAATTTGTTCAAAGAGCTCCTGTTGTTAGCTTTGGAGGCTGAATGACTTGATGGTGACCATATGCACAGCATTTCAAGGGTATTGTGTAAACCTGAAGTCATTTTGATGCAGAACAAAGAGCACCAATAACCTGAAGTCATTTTGATGTAGAACAAAGAGCACCAATTTATTACTATCAGTTTGTTGGAAGTTCACTTTGACATGTGTGTACTCTTTTCAGGGTCCAATAGCAATTAGGATGGCAAAAAAGGCCATCAATGAGGGACTTGAGATAGATTTACCATCAGCTTTGGAATTGGAAGAAGAGTGCTATGAGCAGCTCTTGAACACAAAAGATCGCTTGGAAGGCTTGGCAGCATTTGCTGAAAAGCGGAAACCAAGGTACAGAGGGGAATAAAAAGAGAAAAAATGTTCCTGGACAAGTTTCTTAGGATTAAATGCCATTCTTCATACAATTTGTGCCCATGAGCAAATGTGCATGCCAGACAGTATTAAATTTGTATAAATTATTAATAAAGAAAATAGCAAGCATTCATCTTGTCTGTCATAATCAATTTGGTGATGTTTAGAATGTATTGTTGGTTGTTTATTTGTTTAGAAGCTACCTAGTTTCATTAGTGAGTTAATGATATGGAAATCGGCGCAAAACATCTTTTGAAGTGGAGCATTTATTTACAGATGGTAATCTCCTAACATACAGATAATGTCATATAAAATATATTATTGATAGAATTGATAAATCGATGGTTGAGTGAAGACCTTTTCCATATTGCTAGCGAGGGCTTCTAGTGAATATTCATGTATGAGTGGTCCCTTAATGAAGGGGGAAAGTGACATCTCTATAATTTAAAACTGCTGTCGTTTTAGGTTTAAAATACAGAAAAGTAGGAACATATGGGAGTTTTGCAATGCCTTGGAAGTCATTATAAATTTGATAAGTTTTCGGGGTGAAATTAAGAATTTGAAAAACTAGCTTATAATGAAAGATTAAAAAGATTCGCAAAATCAAAACTTGCACTACTGTCAAAATGAGAAACCGGATGTAGAGAAGCTGTTACCCTCGACTTCTACTATAATTTCATTTGCTCATTTTGGTTAACAAGCCAGTTGACCAGGTGTATGGAGTGTTCTCCGCTTCCGATTTGAGATAAAGGTGTTTGACCACTGTTTTAGTCTTTTAGAACCAGCCGAGTTGTTAGAAAGTAGAAAAGTTTCGAGGTTTGGATTCGAGCTTCAATTAGGGAATGATGAGCTTGGGATATTTACGTATTTAATTTTAAACAACAAAACATGCTGGCAAAAAAAAAATTACATTTTTTTTTAATTATTGATTACAGTTTCTGTGTCAAAGAAATCTTTGACTGCACTGGAAAGTGAGTTTATTGACTACAGGATCTTTGTCAAAGAAATCTTTGACTGCACTGGAAAGTGAGTTTATCGACTACAGGATCTTTGACAACACTGAAAAGAAATGGTTGTTTTCTATAAGATGATTAGCCTTTTCAATTTGAAAGGAGGAGGATGAAATATTACAAACCATGATTTAACTTCAGTTGAATAGAAAGGCATTACAACTAACGACGTCAATTTATATATATAATGTAGCTCGTTTTGGTATCTTAAGCTAGCTCAAATCTTATGTGCCGCCAGTTTGTCGTGTCTTTGGTTTTCTCAAAATTGCAGGCTTTGCCAAATACCTGCTAGCTCTGGGCAAAGGTACTCTAAAGAAAACAACATTTTTTTTTCTGCTAAGGTACTTGTTTTAGTTGAATTACTCATTTTGAAATGTCTTTATAACTTAAGTGCATGCAATAATCATTTTCTCATATTTGTAGGATAATCAAATCATTCAGCAAGAAATGATATGTTCTTTGCTGAATTATCACAGAGAGCTCCAGTTTAATTTAGGCTACTTAAAAACTGTATTAGATGTGTTCTGGGCTGTGCAGATGAATATATGTTACTGGTGACTAAAATTAATTTCTCTTTGTACAGAAAAAATAAATCACTTTATTTTCTAGTTATTTTAGGTTATGTTTATGCATGGAACCAATCAACGTTATTTATTTTGTTAGATCATGATCAAATTTCATCAGCTTTTCAACTGCTCTGCTTAAGCAATGCTATGACTTTTTACATTATCTTCTTCTTTGATTAAAGTATGATATATGTGTGTGTGTGCGTGTAAAAATAAATAGATTTTGAACCTTCAGATTTCATAACTTTAGGATGTCTATGAACTTCTTGATCACTAAAAGAGAATCCTTGACATAGAAGCAGGCGAGACTCCATTCTTAATCCTTGCATACATCACTGTTCAGGTTTTGAGCAGCTGCTACAAGGTTCATAATCTTAAGCTTCACATCAAACTAGAAAATTGGCTTGATAATAACGTGTTTTCGAGTGAGGCAAATTTGAGACTGCTACCTTTCTTCTATGGCCTCTTTACAAGTCTGTTGCAAACATTACACATAGGCAGGCTTGTCCCTGTCAAAACAATTTCCAATTTTTGTCTAAGATTGTTAATAATTTCAGAGAAATCTATATTAGCAAAGGACACATCCACCTCATATATGGATTTAAGTTACAAAATTTAAGAAAAATTTTTACTCTTTACCACCAAGCTCCATTTAGGGATCTTTCCTGAGTTAAACCATTTGTATTAAGCTTTTTTCCGATCTAACCCCATATTTATTTTTATTTTCTTTGAAATTTGCTTCTTAGAAAGGTCTCCAAATTTTCTCTAGTACATAAACTTAAATATTAGATATACTGAACATGCAATATGAGCCTGCTGTAGTTTGAGTTTGCTTTTCAGGACTTGGAAAGAATTTGTACTGCTGTAATTTATGCAGATGAAATTTAGCTGTCAATATGGAATGCATCCTACCTATGATCACCATGACTTTGAAGTGCCGTAAATTAGATCAGTTTGATTAAGAAAATGACCAACACATTTATTATGATTCTCTTGGTTTGAAATTACATTACTTTTGGGAATGGAAATCTAATGTTTTTTTACGCTAATGTGAGCCATAAACCGAAATTAAGCTAGCAAATGACTTGTCTTTTTCCAGATACGGAAAGTAAATGGCTGGAAAAACTCCTCATTTAGCGTAAATATAAACTTTGATACGAGCATACAGAATCCTTGAAATTGAAACTCTGAATTTACTTTTTTGAACTTGCTATTCATTTAAGGTATCGTTGAATTTCAGAAGTAGTTATGCGAAATTGTCATACTGCTAGAATCAGTAGCAATTGCATCCTTCATCCAGCCAACAAGCACAATGTAAAGTTTACGTGGATGACATAATATGTTGCTGAAGAAGAAAAAAGAGATCAATTTACAGTACAATGCAATGCATTGTATTAGCAAATAATGGCTGTGAATTCTGTTGAAATGGTAGGTCCTTGAGACCTGAATCTTTTTTTTCCTTTCGTTCTCAGAATTTTAGCTGGTCATTCTCTAAAAGACAATTGCAACTGAAACTGTCATATTAGCCTTTTCAAATATCGTACATAGTTTACAAGGGCACTTTCCCGTGTTAAGCTTGAACTTTAGCCTAAGACTCAGGTGTACTGACCCTCTTGCAAATGTAGGTTTTTTTGCAGTCCAGTTTCAGTAATTTCTCAGTTTCACGAAAATCCCACCAAAATTTAATCTCATTTGATTACGTCAAGATAAAAATTTGAAACTGTTAACCATTACTTGGTGAACTAACTAGACCTATCGCCACAGCTTAGAATTACCATAACTGAGTCTTGTGTTTGCTCTACTAATTTAATGGCTATCCTACTGGCTAAGTCTTTCCCCGTTTAGAAATGGACAATAGCTTAATGTATTTTCAGTCTCTTTTTCAATAGTCCACTTTCCTCAAAGATTGAAGGGAAAATATTGATGGAGACTAAAGTCAATCTTAAAGGGAAAAAATATACAATATGGCTCAAATAGGAATAAAATTGACATTGGTCGAAGGCATTTCTAAAATAGACGAGGACTGGTATGCTACTTCTGTTGTTAATTAAAGAAAAAGGTTCATCATACTATTTGGCTTTATGTTAACTTTTAGGAAGCAATCATGACCAAATCTCCATCACTGAGTTTGTCCTATCACATGAATATTTACTTGCAATGATCTCTATCTGTTCTGGATCCTTGCATTGCAGGTTATTATCCTCTCTAAATCATTTATTATCCATCTTGTTTCGTTGTAAAAGCACATGACAGCCAGAAAAGTTCCCACACCGACCAAAAACCAGATTTTGGACAAAAAAATGGACGAATCTGAGAAATGTCAGCGACAAACAGTCTTTAGTTCCGGCAAAAGTTGTCCAATCTGGCTTGCCAACGTAGGCTCATTATTTTATTGTAACCATCAATAGGAAAACAGATTTTTCTTCTGATTCTCATTCATGTTTATGCAAGCAAGCTCATTGTTTTGCTGCTTGAATATCTGGATCGATATCCTTGTTCATCATGACTTTTCTTTGCCTTTTCTTGTTCTGGCAACAACTAAGCAAACACTGATTTTTAGCACCTTTAGATATACACGCAATTGTGCTGACATTTCTTAAGTAGAAATCTTTATTAAGGCTTCAGGTTCCATGGCTAGTCGATTTCGTTTTGTGAACAGGGGAGAAACCAGATAAGTCCTCGTTTTGTAGAGATTGATCATAAATTATTCTGAATGTATTTAGCTGGCTTTATGCTTTGCTTCTTTTACTGATTTTACAGAACTTGCAAGTTCCAGTGGTGAATGTACAGTAATCAAAAAAGGTAAAGAACTTCAACATTTGAGGAAAATATACTTTTTTAATAAAAATTGATGAAATTAGTACAACGAAAGTAATGGACCTTTCTCGCGTTTCAATGATTAAAACTAAGAACTTCTGCTTCAAGATTTCAGGTTCTAACTCTAAGAAAGGTGAAGATTTGACAATGAGTAATTGTCCATTTTGCCAACGGTTTTTAACAAATCAAACATGAACGGTGGCATTAAATTAATTACCAGAAAATTGCATAAATTACAAGCACGCGTGTTCTCTCTGTTAGTGTTGATTTCATTAAAAAGATTTGCATGTCCTCAATTTCTCTTTAGAAATCGGGAAAAGACTAAAACTATCCATTGTGTAACCCAAAGTTCATTGAACCTCCTGTTCAACCAGAAAAAGAAAAAGGACATAATTAATATAGGGCAAATTACATGGTATGTTCGATCCATTGGAACTTCTTATATAGTAAAAAAACAAAAACAAAAATGGGGATCCATAAATTATCCCAACTATTTCGTACAGATCAACAAAACTGAGAGCAAGAAAACGCTGAGATTTATCACGACCTTTTCTTTACAGTAACAGATATTTCTGCTTATGCCTTTTGTTTGACTTTCTTCATTAACTCGATGAATTCTCCAAAAACTGCAGCGAGAAAAATCTAGGTCAACATGCATGTGCAAGAAATCCAATATATAAACATAGAGGCGAAATCGATGATGAGGTTGAAGAAGCAATTATGCCTCATCATCAACAAGAAGAAAAATGACAAACACCACCCAGCTCCACTTGTGCGCAGAGAAGAAAG